GGAATTAAACTTTTGACGCGCGAGTTTTTCTCTTCCGTCGCTAGAAGGTGAATATTCCAAATTAGCGAGTCAGAGTGCGCGAAAAGCACTTTTTACACTTGTGGTGTGAACCAACTTTATTTATAATGAAGTTTGGATATAACGCGCCCTGCCATCGGTTGAAAGAGCGCGCTCAATCAGAGTACAAAATATGAAGCTGAGCTAAAGCTTTCACCCCATCTGCCATTTCCCTGACTTCCCTTTAGCTTTTTTCCTTAATTGAAAATGACATTTCGGAACAAGCGAGCCAGTGAGTTGCAACAGAAGAACCAAACAAAGGCTTATAAACATGCTAAGCGCCATAATTGACATTATTATAACGTGAGCAGAGACGAAAATCCTTAAAGAGAGAACGAAATGGACAGTCCGAATGTACTTTTTAATGAATCTCTAAAACAAAGAACGAAAAAAAACGAAAAAAAAAACCAGCTATCATTACCTGAAGATACGGTTTTGGATCCTCTTCTTGCTTATTTGCGCACCAGGATCCTTTTTCGTTGTGCAATCTCCCTTGAGATGGTGCGAAATCTAAGTTTGATCTGAGCCATGAGGAAGCAACAATTCCTCCCCCGGAAACTTTATCCGGATCTTCAATTCCAACAGAGTTCCCACGGCACTCTTTGTCTAAAACACGTTAGGGATAGAATCATTTTCAGTCTAACCTTAGATTATTGAGTTTAAGCCTCTGTAGGGCCCGGTCGCTTTTAAAACACCACAGAAATAACATGCTGATAGGCGCTTGCATAATTAGGATGACGATTATGATTGTAAGGAGGAAAAAATCCGCTAAGTAGTCCTTTGTTTCTCCACAGCTGCTTTATTGGGTTATTACTCTTTCCAATTTACACAACATTTAACAATAGGAAAAATTTTCAATTTTTTTAAAAAAAGGAAGCGGTAGAAGTACACTTATAATAATGTTAACAATAATGATGATGCAGTCAATGATGACGATGGGTTATCAACGGTCACAGTGATGATGATGATAGGGACTTTAAACCACGACGGCAACGAGAACGTCGCAAAACAAAATATTTCATTTGCAGAACAAAAGGGAAACACGTGCGTTTCAATACTTTGTACATTTCTCAGCCGTCCCATGCATTCAGATCTGAAACGCGAAATCACCAACTTTTACGTCCTCTTAGCAATGAAACCTCGACAGTAATTCAGTCAAGTTTTTAATTTGAGCTCAACGCTATATTCATACGTTATGCCGAAGCGAAGATGAACGCAACCGAGCTAGAGATGGTAAAAGCTTTAGAGGAAAGTAAATTTCGTTTTTTCGTAACGTTTACCACACGTTATCGTAATGCATGGCGTCTTAGACCCCCTAATGTTTGCATCAGGGAACGTAATACAGTTACCACTCACAATACCTGTACAGCCTTTTTGAAATTTCTCGCACTGGTAAGTGTTCCAATACTCGTACTATAATTTACCAAGACAAAAAAAATATTACTACCTCAACGTGACAATAAGTAACAATCTATACAGTCTTCATCGCTCTCTTGTATCATTGCACAGATTCAGCCGGTAAAAGTATACTGTTGAACTGAAGTTATGAGGAATCTACTGATTGATGGACAGACAATTGATTTTAATTTCTGATTTCTTTTAACTCCAGTCTAATTAGCTGGATGTGGGATTGGCGCAAAGTATAAACTCGGGCCGACATCTCGATGAGACATCTTCTACGCACAGATCCAGTTTCACTGCTAAGTCTGAGAGTAATCATGAAAAATAGATAAATGAAAATAATTATTATTATTGAATGAGTGGCAAGTGAATAATTGTCACGCGGAGACTGGGAGCACGAGGGCAACGCTTCCCACTCTTAGTTTTCGCCTTGCGTTACCTTTGTACTCACTTCTTTGAAATTACGTGACCAACTATGTTGACAGAGAGAAGACTGCGCACAAACTCAATAACAAGAGCTTCGACAATAAGGAAAAAAAAAAACCCACACAAAAAAATCTTACCGATTTTTCCTTGTGGCCATAATGATCGACAACCTCACCAAAAGTGCAACCTTCCTCATAACACTCGTGGTCGATATCTTTAAAGAAGCCAAAGAAATCGAATGCCTCTTTTTTGTTCAAGACGATCTTGTCACGTGGAATCAGTCGACCTTTATGATAGAATTACTTCAGACATTATTCAGTCATTATTAAGATTCTGTGCATTTAGCAGATATGAACTACGAAAGATTATCTTTTTTCTCTTTTGTTGAATATTTCTTCTTTTCATTATTTAATTTACATTTGGTGAATCAAATGCAAAGATATGAACATTAAAGAATGGCTGGGAATGCTGTATGCAGCAAACGAAAAATCTTTTTTTTTCTCGGTTTTGTTTTTTTTTTAATACAGACACGAGAAAGGTGAAACTCATTTGAAAGTATGCTCAAAACTTCCCGCCGGAACCTCATGGCGTCTCATTTATGCATGTATCAATTTGAATAATTTTAATTAATTAACAACAAACGCACAGTGATTATGAAAAAAACGCGGCAGTATCGGGCGCGCACATCTATGTGGCTAATTGACAAAGGCTAAGGCACTTTTGCTTTGAACTTGAGATTATCTTGATATGCTATCAGAAATGATCCAAAACCACCAATTAGAATATCACAACTTGGCTTGAATTCTTGCGTCCATTCCTTTTTAAGATCATCAAGAGCTTTTTGGTTGTGCATGGTTGAAGAATGTACTTGGTTGCGGACGGTTCATTAACGGCTTAATGTAAGGAAAACTGCCAGTTAAGGTGGAAGCTTTCTTCGTTCTGTACAATTATAAGTATTTCCGTACTAACAGGCAAACGGGGCACATACTTACCCTGGCTCGATCCTGTAAAAGCCAACAGGACAGCAAATGACATAAAAAACCTCATTTCTGCAGTAGACAAATTAAAAAAATTCAAAAATTAATGAACTGTGCAGCATAATTATGTTAGCGCCATATTTTTTGTAAATTCTAACTTTAATTATGAACCGCTATTTCTAGACAGATTAGCACTGAATACATTACACTGAACTACGTTTGAAAAAAACAAAAGAAAGTTCTGATTGATTAGTCCTTTTTTTTTTTTTAAATTTTCAGTTTAATAAAATGGTAATTGACTGACGCTTTCATGTGAAAGTAACAAAACAACTATTATTCAAAGCTTTATTAATATAAGGGAATGATTTCACTAATTCGCAAAGGGCGCGTAAAAAGTGTGCAAAAGGAGTTTGATCAATATATGCCAACAGATATACAGTGTAGCAAAAACCATATCCCGATTATCAGTCATATCACATGAAAAATATAGATGAGTTAGGAATCATTTTTGCAATAATTGATTAAAAGGAAATATTGTATATTTGAGGAATACGCGGGAGACACCTGCAGAGAGGTCAAAACACTTAAATCTTTTGTGATCGTTATAAAAATCTTTGAAAACCGTCAGCATTTAACAGAAACGGTTTAGAAGTTATACCTTGCATCTGATAATACAGAGAAAAAATTCTTACCGTTGGCGATGACTTTTTATTCCAAACCTCACGGAGTGATTGCACTAATGGACTGTTAAACGCAGTTATCAAGGGTCCCTATTTATTCAGACTGAGAAGTGTCAATGGTCAATGAAAGTTGTTGTCTATTCTGGTGACAATTGCAACGTAATTTGCATAACAATTTAGCCCCTGGGACTGTAATCAATAACTCGCCAACGCATTTCATCAAGTTTGCACGCAATTTTTCTTAAAAAAAGCTTAAGTGAGCAGAACTGCCTTATCAACCTGAAATGGAGGTCTGCAATGGAAAGGAAAGTTCCTTGTCAAAATTTATAATTTTCTAAGGATCTGATATTGCGATTTTTGATCGTATGTAATTTTGTCAATAGTATTATTCATTCATTCGAACATAATGGAAAAAAATGGAACAAATGACTAAAAGCACAGTTCAACTAAAGAAATCGTACAAATTAAGGTCTTAATAAAAGATTAAGGACTTAAACGGGCTAAGATCCATGTGTCCCAGACAACGATTGTGTGGTACTTCCAAATGAACAGTCGAGCCGTTTATTTGAAGCGAGATCAGCTACAGTTATAGTTACCGCGCAAAACCAGCCAACCATTGCACCGAATCACGTGATTCACCAAGTGTGCCATTAGCAGACGACGAGCTTTTAATCAGCTTGTTCGATGGATGTATTCATCATGCATTTAGGCGACATAAATGTAGATGATAAAGTGAGTAGTGAGTATATATCAAAAGCGCCTTTTATCATTATTCGATTAAGAGAAATGAACTTACCCTAACCATTGGTGACACAGAAGTAGATGTTTCATCAAAATAATTCAGTTTTTTTGGTGACAAAATGCCCCTTCTTTGGTCAATATAAGGAAATAGAAAGATGACGTCACAGGCACTCAACAACTGATGCAAGAATACATTGAAACTTCAGCCCCCTAACTTTTTGAAAATTTTTCGTTTTATGTGTCAGCTACCATGGCCAACCACTTTCTTCAGAAGAGAAGGATATTGCCGATGTTAAATTCACACGACCCTGTCCCTCGCCCTTCCCCCTCCTCTAGCTGCACTTTCTGTCCCTCACCCCTTCCCCCCTCCTCTAGCTGCACTTTCTGTCCCTCACCCCTTCCCCCTCCTCTAACTGCACTTTGCAGGCTTAGCTGTTAAAGATGACATGAAAGTCGAATTGGCGAAAAAAATCGTGTTGGTTTTTTCTTTTTGATTGCCCAAGAAACTTTCTCCTGGAGCTTGTCACGGCAACAACAAAAGAAGAGCATCCTTTTGACGGGATAAGAACCTCTTTCCTATTCCTTACTTTAAGTAAAGTAAATTGGAGCAATTTTTTTCCAAAAACTTTTGTGCGCGATAAGCACAGGCAGAACGCATGCGTTAAGCTGTCCCATGGGACCTCAATGGCAATGATGATGAGATAGAATTATTGTTTGTTATGTTTTTATTGTGAAAATAACACTTATTCATACTACTGATCTGGCCATGTACACTGTAACTTGATACTTATGATAATAATTAGAAAAAATTTCTGCTTCTGACTAATTCTCTCAAGTTTTGTTTTGAATATTGGTTTTTAAAGGCTTACAAATATCTTACCAACCTAAACTGACCCACTTATTCTAACCTGCATTTATCAAGAAGGAAAGTAATGTTCAATTGCGTGGCTTGTTTCGAATGGAATTACCTTCACCAGATTTACTGATATTCCATGCCTTAATTATAAAGGTTTTTCGACGGCTGAGACAGCTATCTACACAAAAAAAGTAAAACATTTCTTAATTAAGCAATATGAAAATTATTGATTTACCAGATGCTTTTACTGGGAACAACTTGTTTGAATCAGTTTTCCGAAACCATATGCATTAGACTTCTTGAGTTCAATGCTATTCATTGGAGTTACGTTTTTAAGCCAAACCCGAACGCGACGAATTTTAATTTCCTTTGCAGGTGAACATGACGTGGTGGTACACGTGGCGGCATGTGATTAATTACGCCATTGAGTGATAACCAACACAAATTAAATCAGAAACAGTCCATTAAAAAAATTCAAGCCAGGGTTTAGATACGTAACTAAACGTTTCTAAGGAAATGAGCCAACCATTTCTGCTCGCGTGGTCAATTCTTCTTCATAAGATCACGATCCTCACGGGGCACAATTTATCCGATTTACTGGCTGAATATCTTGCTTCTTTGCTATTTGTATTTTCCTTCACCCGAGTTGGGTTTCATTGAAGTTTAGCATGACTCCTACGGCCCCATTTATCCTCGAGCTAAATATAAAACCTTCCATCCTAGTTTTTCCCGCAGCCTTAGCAGCTTTTAAAACATTGCATAATCGTGACAAATCAGCAGACAAACACAACGTTGTCTCGGTTAAACTAAGCTCAGCAAGAAAACATCAAAAATTAACGGCTCAAGGCAACTCGTGGATAATCACCTCTGCAAACAAAAAAAAGGAGTTTTAGATGCACATGCTAACTGTTATTTTACTTGTCATGATCGACCAATCTCCATTCAACATATTGGTAATCTACCTCATATTGGCCTTGTCACTTTTCCTATTTGCTTTTTTTTTTAATACATGTAGTCCTTTATAAACTCGAATTCATAAATTCAAAACTCTTAAGAGAGACTGAGAAAAAAAGGCTCACGAGGAGGCTCTCAAAAGGGCTGAAGATGTGAAGAGAGGGGCCAGGGGGAAAGTATTATTTCATCGCTCTAGGCCCATCACCAACTTATTTTTCACGGCTTCTTTAGTAACGCCACAGCAAATGTGAGAAAAATATCAAAACATGACAGAGAGCTATATCGAGTGGACTGTGTAGTATTGTAACTAGCAACGTTATATTGCAAAATTAACACATGGTATTTCTAATATATTCCTTACATCTATTCTCTTTGAGTCATTTCGTAGCATATACGAGCAAAGTTATTAGACTGTAAAGATTCAAGTTGACAAACTTACTAGAAGTGGTCGTGACAGTTTTTTCAACAGTCTTTACAACAGGTCCTTGTTCGATCATGGCTGAGATCTGATGTATGACGTTTGAATCCAGAGAATCTACCGAGTTGTATCGAAGCACGCGCTCGGGCGCACCAAGTGCTATTTGGACCAGCTCTGATTTACTGACTTTATTGGAGAGTCCGACGGCGATTATGTTGGACGAACAATTCTGAAAAAAAAAATCATAGGAAATAACGTCTATTTCATTAATCGTTCCACTAATTACGCCAATTTGCCATATTAGGGAAACAAAACGCGCTAAATATGCCACAGTGATGATTTGTAGAACAAGGCAAAATTCGGTTGGAAAGCTCATTGGATGCATTTTCCTTGCCCTTACAGGGCTCGGAAATCTGAAACGCAACTCACTTTAAGTCAGCGCATACTATATGTTAAAAAATCGAATTAGATGTATGTATTAAAAATCTGTAAGTGCGCTATAGTATTAATAAAAAATAATTTGTTTCAATTGCACATCGTTAAACGATGAGCCGAAATTAATTTTCATAGTAGTCATTTGCAATCCATGTTAAAAAGTGCAATCGTTTTTTGCGATTATATTCTTAAATTGCAGTTCTCCTGTGGAGATCATTTGGTTAGAAATTTACCACCAAATGATTGTACAAAAGTTTCAATGTATGAATGCCGCTATACGGGTGTACTGATCAGTAATGCGGGCAGTGAACTCGTAGCACTGGGAATAAGAATGGACAGGTTTGGATCTTAAAAGAAAGGAATAACTTCATGATGGTTTTGTGGGGCACTTTGACTAAAAGCAAAGCCTTTTCGTATACCTTCATAATCGGTGACACAAGACTGTACGGGATCGAGCCGGCATCAGTTTTTTCAGAGGTGAAAAGTATCATCACATTTTCCTCTTCCGGTCGGTCCTCACACCCCACGGGACAGAACAGCTTACGACTGGCGTACAGCATAGCGAGATCCGTACGGTGCCCCCCAGGGACATACGACATCCCTTCGATGATCACCTTAACGTTGACGTACTCAATGTGTTGGAGAGTCATTATAAGCTCGGGCCTATCACTGTAAATGATGAGTCCAAATTGAACATTTGGGAAGTTCTGACTGATGAATATGAGCAACCGAGATATGAACATTTTAATAATCTCAAATTCGCTTTCGGTTACACCAATCACAATTCCTATGTCCATCCCCTTGCCAGGGACTGTTGTGGGAATTAGTGGATTCACTGGGAGAGGAGGTGGTGAACCTTTTTTCTCACCCGTGGGAGTCTTCGGAGGAGGGGGATTCTCTTGCATAATTTCTTTTTCAGTTTCTGTAAAAGAAAGTAAAAATCAGAACATTTAGTCCACAATTGCCTTCCTTTTGCTTAAAGATGCTCCACACATGCAACACACGCATGACTATTTGGTCTTTAAACAAATCACAGTAATCGATACGTAGATCAATAAATAATCGATAAATAATTAAGATGCTCTGATCAAATTCACCGCACAGACTAATCTGCTCTACTCGTTTGTTATCTTTTTGATTTTTAGGCCTTCAATTTGAAAATTTAAAGACACGATTTCAATGCACTCAGCGATGCGCCAGAATGGCACGCCAAATAGGTCTTCTTTTTACGAGTTGTTTGATATATTATTACCAATAGATATTAAAGGGATCATTTTCCCTTGTTATTAATCAATATTTTTACCTTTTGGGTGAGGAAACTTTTCAGTCGCTGAAAGAATGAAGGAAAAATCATAGAAAATTAAGCAAGGAAAATGAAAAGAGAAACTCATCTCGTAGAGGAGAAGTAAACAATTCAGTTGCAGTTGCAGGCAAAGGGATAATTTTGTATGATGTTGAAGGATGTGAACGAACAGAAATGTACAGATTGCTTTAATTCAGCTCGTTCTGATTTTATTATAATCCATCTACCCATGACATTGTAGGACAGTACTTCAACATACGACATGGTTTCTTTGTATTTTCAATGTTTTTTCCTTACTTCCTTAGATAAGTGAAACAAATCAGTCTTCGCTCTTCCTCATCATAATGGTTCCAATTCTATCTATTCCTGTCTTTTTACGACAAACTTTAGGAATCTGGGTTTCTTCGTAAATTACAACAGAACCTTCTCGACAAATGTCAACAACTATCGACAGCATACAAACGACTCATTCACGACATCAACTCACGAAACGGACAGAACAAACAGAATCACCCGACGTCACATTTGGATTTAAACTGACCAATCAGGACTGACTTACGCCTCCTGTGGTCTATGGTCTTCCTATCATGGTCACGGGAGACTGACTGATAAGTTTTTGCTAACCAGACTAAAAACTTTCAACCATCAAACTGATGTTGACTTTCGCTCAGGTTGTCACCGAAACGTTAATCACTCTTATCGATAAACTTTCCTTTTTAAGTCAAATCTCACCCGGAAGATCAGACTACACCAGAAAACATCTTGTTTGAACTAGAGACTATAAAAACCAATCTTTTGTTGGGTGCCTTCCTCCCCAGCGACAACGGTTATTATTCAACCCTTTGACCCCTAAGACCTGATTAGTACCTATTTTCTCCTTTCTTCATCACCCCCTGAATCACTCATTAAGGTCACGCGAATGAAGAAAATGATCACCAAATTAACAAGCTCTTGATTGTTAAACAAATTCTCTCTGTCAGCGCCTTAGGAAATGTATAGAGAACAGTATGGAGAATATGCATACTGATGTTAGGGTGTAAAGGCTTAACCAACTTTCCATATTGCCAAAAAAAAATTTAAAAAATAGGTCTCAGACAGCTTGTTAGCTCAGTTGGTAGAGTACCGCACCGGTATCGCGAAGGTCACGGGTTCAAATCCCATACAGACCTGAATTTTTTACAAGCCTTATTTTCACTACTACTTACGAAGTGTTTATTACTGCGAAGATCGCCTTCATATTCATTTCTTATGCCGCAGTTCACATATATAATTTTCATTTATTCACATTCGTATATTATTAACAAGTAATCGCATGATTTATCTTTAACAATTTGAAATGAATCAGCCTTACGGGTCGAACAATTTGGTTAGCCTTTAAAAAAATTACTTTTGCTGAGTTATCCCAAATTACGCTCCAAATCATATGATTACCCATAACAATTCCTTTGAATTTTACGAGCAGTTTATGAGAGTAATAAATTTTCTTACCTATTGCGTATATTTCCACCTTCATACATGGGTATGTTTGATACTGCATTGGGTAAATACGAACAAACTTCCCATGGATGGGTTTTGGAAATCTCTGAATTGATGGGTCAGTTGGATTTACGTTCCCCTCCATAACCTAAAAAAACATGAAATATGTGTAACTTACCGTTTGAAACAGGGTAAGAAAGATGGAATTATCATAAAAAGACTAAGATGCTTGTTTTATCGTCTGGTCACGAGCGTTCGACAAAGAAATAAAGTTCCGAGTCCCCATGAGGAACCGAACCTCAGAATCTCAGATTTCGCGCTCTGATGCTCTGCCACTACTCAGCCAAATGTGTTCTCGTTGGTGAATTAAACTATTTTGATTACGAGGTTCATGTGTGTCACGCATCCAGCATACTGTTAGGATCGGTAATGTCGAAAGCGTCATGCGTGTAAACAGAATACGAAAGATGGCAAATTTCCTTGCCGTACGCTCTCCTTAAATATTCATTGTAACTTTTGCATTCTTCTCTTAAATCTCCACGAGTTAGGTTTTAGATCGGATATAAGAGTCTTGGTGGGTTTAACCATTATCCGTAAAACGGGCAAAAACTGATGAAGCCATTAGGCGTAAAAATTGACAAATTTTAACCGTTTGCCATAAAAGCCATCACTTTATCAAGACCCTCGTCTAAGGCACTCTTACCATTGTTTCCCATTCCTGACCGTCTGGGGATATCGCAACAGTAAACCTTTTGACCCATACTCCAAAGCTGCCAAAACCTTGCGTTTCAATAGCACAAACTGACATTTCAGTTGGTAACTCAATCTGAAGGTAATCGCCTGGTTTTGAATTTTCTGCTGAGCACCATGCCGAGGGACCATTCAATCTAGCTTTGGACGCGCTGTAATCGTCTCCGCTGTCAGAGGAAGCCGAAAAACTTGAGTCCGGCAGGGTACCTCCATATGCTGCGCCGACAGGATCACACTGCAACTCTGTAGTTTCACCTTCACCTTTGAGAAACAAGAGAAAACGAAGTTATTGTCCGAGCAGGAAGAAATAAACAACAGCAATACCAAATTGTCTCACCTCCACCAGGGGGAGAAGTAGTTTCTTCACCTTTAATTTGAAAAAATATGGAATACAGAGTTAGTACCCGTCCAGGAGGAGGTGAAAAATAGAAAACCAAAATTTACTCACCTTTAACAGGATGGGAAGTAGTTTCTTCTCCTCCTTTGTGAAAGCAAAGCATAAGAAGTTAGTGTCCGAGGATGTTGTGAAAACTTACAAATAAAAATTATCCTACATTTACCGTTAGGCGTAGTAGTTTTTCTTCTCAGAAGGAAGAAAAGAAAACAAAAGAAAAGAAAAGCAACTAAAAGAAAAGTAATTTAGATTGTTACTCTCTAATTATTTACCGACTTCCACCTCATTTTCTAAAATAAAGGAGGCGACAAAAAAGGAATGTTCCCCCAGTCTCCCACGACATTATTCTTCAGGGACTCGATCTCTTTCTCTTTGCTGCACGCTCCTGACAAAGTTTTGTTTCACATGATCAAGTTCGACCGTCGATGACGGATTTTACCATCTTTCCTGATCTATTTTCATACACCAGATCAGAATTTATCTTTATACCACGCTCATTTCAAGAGATAAACGTGAAGAAACATGTTTTTCTCCGCTTCGCGAACGTGGAACAAAGAGAAATGTAAGTCTCCACGACGAATCTAACCTCAGACCTTCGATGCTGTACTACTGAGCCACAAGGAGCTATGGATTCATGTTTTCAATGCATTTGCTGGAAAAGTGTCCCTTTCTTGATAGTGAATATATGAAAATTATATATGTGAACTGTGGATAAGGAAATGAATACGAGAGTGATCTTCGCAGTAATGAACACTACTTAAGCAATAGTGACAGTAAGGTAAGTAAGGCCGCGCACGGGATTTGAATCCAGCTTCCAGTTGGCTTGTTAACTCAATTGGTAGGGCACTGCAAAAGGTATCACAGAGGTCATGGGTTCAATTCCCGTACAAGCCTGAATTTTTTCAGGCCTTTTTTTTTACTACTGCTTAAGAAATGTTCAATACCGCGAAGATGCTTTAATATTCATTTCTTGAAACACCGCAGTTCACATATATGATTTTTATTTATTCACTGTCATATATTCATCACTTCACGTGTTTATTTGGAACCAAAATAATGACCAGTTTTCAGTTGGTAGAGCACTGCGTCGGTATCGCAGAGGTCATGGGTTCAAATCTAGTTCAGGCCTAAATTTTTTCAGGCGTTATTTTCACTACTGCTTAAGTAGTGTTCATTACTGCGAAGATTGGCAATTTTTCTGTAGCAGCGTTCAGTGGGGTAAATACGACAGCCATAAGTTAAGTGAGTACTTTTCTAGCATTATTCCTCGTACCTGTTTCGGAGGGTGCTCGTTGCCTTTCTGTAAGAAATAAAGAAAATATGCCTGGTCAGCACCACTGGAATTTAAGTTTTTGGATGTGACAAAACGTTTTCTCATACATAATGAAATTTTCTTCGGCATATACTAACGGCTTTCTCCATCACTTTTCCTCTATCTTGGGAAATTGAAAGGAGAATGACATGCTTGATTTTTTTCTGATCAGTGGCGAAGACTAAAGCAGTTTCTGAAGGCTAAAAGAAATTGAGTACCTTTTCCATATAGCTCAACTCTCAAACATGGCCAACTCTCATATGACAGTGGGTAAATGCGAACGTAGTGGGCCTTTACAGGTACTGGTAAAACTTGTTTGGATATCTCTTTAGGACTATCCGTGCCCTCGAATAACTGTAAAGGATTTTCAAAAATAAGGTAAACAATATTGGATGGTAGCATTAATATACTTAACGTCGGAATGCAAAAACATTGTTGGATGAACACAAATGACACGCGAGCATGAGCCGAGCAGACACGCGGAAGAGATTTCTCTATGGTTCATAGGTAGACAAAAAAATTTGATATAGATGCTGGCTATAGTTGCAGCTATTATGCTGTTATCCTCACAGCTGAGTTTAGAATTAATCATCAGCAGTACGTTTATTAGCGACTTAAAGAAGAGCACAATGGCGACGGCTACGAGAACGGAGCGGAACAAAAGATCTAATGAACAAAACAATAGCGCTGCACGTGCGTTTTAAAACTTTTTGAAATGTTTGTACATTTCTTAGCCGTCCTTACAGAACAAAAACATGAGATCACGAACTTTTGCGTCTTTTTAGCTGGGAAACTTCGACAGCCGTTTAGTCAAGCTTTTACTTTGAACCCAACACTGAAAATACTACATTCACATGATATGCCGATGGGAAGGTGTCGCACCGTCAGAAACAGTAAACGCATGGAGCTACTTACGAAATTCTTGGGAAAAAAGAAAGATCGTTTTTTCGGCAATGTTTTCCTTATGTCGCCGGAGTGACGTCTTAAACTTCATTTGAATTTGGTAGAAGGTTTGACTCAACAAACCCTGGTCATTATTATTGACAATAGTCTTTCTCAGGGCTGTTCTCATCCAAAAGGTCAGACTTTATAATCGAATTTATAAACATCTTAACCGCAACGGTTGTCTTCATTGTCGTTATTAAAAGATCTACTCCCATTGAAGGCATTTTACACAGTTTTAGGAGACAACTATACCTTCAAATTTCCTTCTCCGTCCTTAATTTCGTCCCACTTTTCACCATCAACTGAATATTTCACAAAGTATTCTGTGACATATTCCTTTGCTTTCTCGACTCCACTCCCTTGAAGAGCAATGGCACAGACGGTTTCCGCTTCCGGTACGTGAATCTGTAGATACTCTTGCCCAACGAATGGGTCAGCGGGGCACCAGGCGAATGGTCCATTCAAGCGACCATTGAAAGATTGTAACTCGTTTGCGTAAGTAGAGGTTGCAGTGAAGCTTGCCTTGGTCAATTTTCCACCTTCCTCCGCCCCAAGAGCATTATACTCGCATGGGATTTCTTGGAAAGAAAAAATACCATGGATTGACGTAATTGCGCTGAGATTGTATGTTACTGGCAGACTCCAGGGAATTCCTTCAAATATGATGAACTATTTATTTTTCAAACTTTTTAAAGCGGAGTTCAGTTAAGAATATTTTAGGTAAATAAGAGATAATCCCTCTAAGGTTTTAAAAGAGTCTTATATTCGTGCATGTTTGGAGATGCATTACAAGCTGTCTTTCATTTAGGGGAAGGGGTAGTAACCTCTCAGTCTCCTCACATAAAAAGAATGAGATATATTAATAATTTTGCATGCTGCCCAATAAAGAAAAAATGTTAGAAGTTGCCTCACCTTTACTGGGAGGTGCAGTGGTTTTTTCTTTAACTTTGAAAAAGAATAGAATACGAAGTTAGTTTCCATACATGTCATGTAAAGAAATATATATATATATATATATATATATACACAAATGCCTCACCTTCACCAGGCGGGGGAATTATTTCTTCTCCTTTGAAAAAAGAAAGAGAAAGGCAAGTCATTAAAAATATTGTGTGAATAAAACAAACAAATAAAAGAAAATAAGGAGATACATTAAGTGTTTGTTACGAGATGTAAAATGATCATTATAAGATTACTTACCTCCAGGAGGCGAAGTAACTTTTTCCTCTCCTAGAAAGAAAGATTGTAAAACGATTAATTGTGATACGGGCATTCTATTTAGAAGGCAAAGTAGTTTTCTTTTCTCTTGACAAAGAAATCATAGTATTTTCTGAAAATTCAATTTAAAGCTACAAACGCATATATGTATTTCAGATGGAATTTGCCTCTTAAATCGAAGTTTTATGTATATATATATGGTTATCATCTTGGTGATAATGGAATGCATTCGAAGGCAGTTATAGCATATAACTTGTTAAAGTGTAAAAATACGATAATCGTGTTTTTTTGGAGCAATTATTTCAAGAAGAAAATTTAGTAGTAACTGCCTGAGTACTAAACACTGCTTTGCAATCACAATAAAGTGTTGTTTCATTATTTTTTTCAGCAGCTTTCGCTTTTTGGGGAAAATCACCTGGTGCTGTAGGTTTCGCTTCCTCAGTTTCTGCGAAAAAAAATTAGCAGTCAGTAAACATGTACCTCTATGATCAGTAAGCGGAGTAGCTATATTTGACATATAAAAAAGATGATAACACCAATAAGATATGTCCTGATTCTCTCAATACTCCTTTCAGATCTTTTTACCACCCTCGAAGGAATCACGTGAAAGCTTTTATTACAGTTTACTTCGTTTCCAATTTTTCTCGTAGTTGGTGTTTGAGGAGCTCTTCCATTTTTCTTCGCTGCTTCGAAACAAACGAAACGCTTTCGATGCACGATGAATTTCTCATTAAAATATTTGATTCTTTGAGCTCTTTAAATCAGCACAAATTACTGTTGAGTCATTCAGTTTATACTAAAACAATGGATAGCAATAAAGGCGCGCTCTGATTGGCTACTCAAACTCCGGATATCCTTTGTTATTCACCTCTGTGTAACTCGCGCAGGAAAATATTGCAATGATTGCGGGAATAGCTGATTTAGAATCATCTTTTTGTGCTTTGTTGTCTCACTGTTTACCTCAGCGTCAGTCGCAAGTGCGGAAATCTACCGAGCCGCGACTGGAAAGGTAGATGTCCTCTTCGGTGAATTGTTAATTATCAACAGGTTTCCGTATGAGAGTAATCTACAGAGATTTTCTCACAGATTTACCTCTGCATCAAGGTAATCGTTAGGGACAAACAGCGTTGGCTTCGAGTTTTTCCATGTAACTAGCAATAAGTGTCAAGCCCAGGTTACCTTTGCCATACAGCTCTACTCTCAAACAAGGCCATTCCTCATAGGACACTGGGTAAATTCGAATGTACTGGGCTCTCACAGGAGCTGGAAATTCTTGTTTTACAATGGATGTAGCATCCTTGTTGCCTTCAAACACCTGTTTAACAAATAAAAGATCAATTGGGTTACAACGTAAAATTACAGCATACTTCAATCATTGAAAACATTTAAAATCTGTTTATCATGTAAAACTAAACCGCACATGGAGAAAGCAATGAAATGTATGTACCTCTTTGACAAAAAATCACTCAACATTGCACTGTATAGACTGTCGTCTTCATTTTCGTTACGTTAACAGTTATCACAAAGTTGGCGTTGTTGTGATCTATACCGACCGTTATATTTACCCTAACTATGACCGTGACCAGTTTCAATGTCCCTGGTATAACCGTTTACTTTCAATTACACTCCTGCTCGTCTACAGCGGCCGTTACTAACCGTGACTGTTATCACTTTCAATGTCCCTGATATAACCGTTTACTTTCAACTGACACTCCTGCTCGTCCACAGCACAGCAGTATAATCATCGTTACCGTTATCGTTGCATTTTTTTTATTTTGAAGGGTTTATAAAGCACAATTCAATTCAAAGATCTGTCACTTATTTCTTAGTCAAGTGAAAAAAAAAGATTAACGGTGAAATTTTCTCTCTGTTGACCACAGTGGATTGATATTAATCGTCATCCGTACATTGAACAAAATTTTAACCGTTAGCCGTAAAAGCCATCACCCCATTGAGACCCTCAGTAAACTTTAGGAAGTGGGGATGGGTAAGGGTTTGTTTCAGTGGAGGAGGGCCAGCTTAGTTCTCATTTCCCGTTTATATTTCTCTAAAGTTATCAATAATACCTTTTCCTTTTCGCCCTTGTCATCTGTAAATGCTAACCACTTATTCCCATCCACTGAGTAGGTTACTGAGAAACTCGTAACATATTCATTCAAATTCTCAAAACCTTGAACCGCAACGGCACAAATGACTCGCGCATCCGGCACATGAATCTGAAGATACTGATCACGATTGGTCATAGGACACCAAGCTGACGGACCATTCAACCGACCAAAAGAGGGATAGTAACGTGTACCGTGACTTGAAAGTGCTGAAAAGCTTGAATCGGGCAATTTTCCACCTTCCTTTGCCCCGAGACCATCATCTTCGCATGGAATTTCTTACAAAAGGAGAGATTTTCATCAGAATATTTCCCAAACACGTTCATAGAGCTTTTCTCTTGTTAAATGTTAAAAGATTGAAATACAACCAAAGGGTGTCCTACCTATAGGAATCGGAGATACTAATAAATGCTTGTGAAATAAGAATTGAAAAGTTGGTGACAAAAGGTTCCTCACCTGTAGGTGGCGGTGTTATTACTTCTCCTCTTCCAGGAGGCGATGAAGTTTCTCCTTTTCCTTTGATTAAAGGGGTTTAAATTAATTTGACATGATGTTAGATGAAAGGTAAGTAACGAAAACTAAAAAATGAGAAAATTCGCGTATGCTGTGCGATAAAGATGAAATATCAAGGATTAACTCTACCTACCTTCACCAGGTGGCCCGGGAGTTTTTTCTTCTTCTTTCAGATAGGAGAAATAAATAAGTTAGTAACCGTGCACGTTGCGAGGTTAACAATTAACATTATAACCTGTTTTACCTTCAGAGGCCAAACTAGTTTCTTCTTCTCATTGAGAACATACAAATCAAGAAAAAGAAAGTTCAAAATTCGTGTCGTCAATAGTCAATAGTCGTCTCGCCTTTTCCAAGAGATGATGTAGTTTCTTCTTCTCCTAAAGTTGATATCTAGAAAGGCATGTTTTGAAATGAAAAACTGCAAATCAAAAGTCAAAATATTAATGTATCTCACCTTTGGGAGGAGAAGTAGTTTCTTCTATTACTTTGGAGAAAAAGAGATAAGAAAGTTGAAATCAATAAGAGCATGTCGTGAAATGAAAAATTAGACACCAAAATCCAAAAAATTCCAATGTAATTTTTTTCTTTGACTTGCCATTTCCTAAAGTTCTTCTCTATTAGTACCAACATTGCCAAAAAACGTGGTGGCACCAACATGCCCCTTTGACGAAGTAGCTTCCGGTTCGAATCAGAATTTTAAGTGTTATTTGGTGAGTTAAGAGATTGTAAGATTTTGAAAGCTAGGACATAAAACCATGATAAACGTAACCCTCAATAGACGACAGTTTTGGAGGTTAGCTCCCAAAAATACATGTAGCATCAGGGGAGCTCATACCAATGCCCTGTGCATGTTTCCATTTAGCCTCCATTTACGAACAGTTATCTGTCCTCAAATACTTTGAATTGTTATGCGCGGTTCTGTGGTTTCCGGAAAACTTCTAACTATTTGGCAATAAAGCAACATTTTTACCGGAAAAAGGTTTGAACGTTATTGATAACTCTCAAAGAAGAACAGTTTTTTCATCCATGCTTTTCCCACCTCAAGTCGGTACATGACAATGACTCGATTGAAATACACATTCCAAACAACACCAAGGCGAGGTAGATCAAAACGTCGCTGAGGAAAGGTAAGCATGATCTTTTTAATCCTTGCACAATAGGAATAAAATCATGCGGCTAAGAAGTCTAATGAATACTTAAATACTCTTAAATGTCTTCTCTCCTACCTCCGAAAGGTGCTTTTTGTTTCCTTTCTGTAAAAGACAAAGAGAGCACATTTGGTAAAGAGCGATTCTATAGTAAAGTATGCAGTCTCAACCCATTGCCATAAGCACTACGATTACCCTTCAATTTTAAACACTTCCCCCTCGAATTATTGCAATTCTTGTTTAGCATATGTCAGACAGAGGTCATCGAAATGGGTTTCTAGAATAGTTTATTGTTTCGGAGAGTTTTTCCTAAAGATTTTTAATCTATTCCTCAATTTTTCACGTCAGTAGGGATTCCAATGCAAAATTTGAAATTAAAATAATGATTGTGTGTATCGTAAAAATGTCTCCGTGAAATTTCACCGCGGTAGTTTGAGCTGAAAGCCGGTTTAGACAGATACAAATTACCTTTTCCATACAGCTCTGCTCTCAAACACGGCCATCCTTCGTAAGTCACTGGGACAATTCGAATGTATTTTGCCTCGACGGGAACCAATAACACTCTTTTTATTGTAGTTTTGGAATCTTCATTGCCTTCGAACACCTGTTCAACAAAAACAGATAAATTTATGACCACATATTTTTACATCACAGCCCCACTTTTTGTAAACATTTATCTCATTCGACAGCATCAATGTACACTACATCTCTATTATTATCGTTATATTTACCGTTCTTTTTCGGTTTGTAAAACTGACTGTATCATGAAGTCATTCTCTATACACCTGACTATATCAAGAAGTCATTCACTATACCGCTGACTGTATCAAGAAGTCATTCATTATACACCATAGTTAAAGTTACAACATGTAAATAGTTCTATAGATATATTTGGAATTATTTCGTTGTATCCGCGTTAAGACCAGTCATCGTTTTTCGCCTGAGGGGGTGGAGGGGGGAGAGATTTTGGGGAATACGTGGTTTTCAAGGGAAAACGGGGGATCAGTCTTCGCTAACAGAATATAGAGGTGGGGGGAGGGGGAGACCATAGAAAACGGACTACCAAAGAGGGGGGGTCACTAGAATTCTAAAGAGCCTTAGAGAGGGATCAGATGAATTGAGTTGTGACACTCCAAAATCCTCCGAAACCCCCCTTCCCCCACCCCCGCGGCCGATGAATAATGACCACTCCCTTAGCGCGCGTAATTCAGTCATCAGACGTCTAAACATTGACTTGAATGAAACAGTTTTTCCCTCTTCTTCTTCTTGTTCTTCCTCCTCACATCATCATAATTGTTACTGTTACTGCTTTTGTTGATCCCCTAACGTTACACACAAAAAAGAGAACTCTCGCCTTCACCTTCAAATTTCCATCCTTATCCGCTAATGTATCCCACAGACTGCCATCGATGGAGTATTGCAAGTAAAACTGCGTCACATGTTCATTTCCGCCTCCAAAACCAGTCCCTTGAAGAGCAATAGCACAAATGGCTTCTGCATCCGGTACGTGAATCTGTAAATACTCTTGTCCTGCGCCAGTCCCTTCGGCACACCACGCCAATGGACCATTCAACCGACCATTGAAGGGTTGAAACTCAGCATAACTTGACGTAGCAGTGAAGCTTGAGTCGAGCAATTTTCCATCTTCCTTCGCTCCGAGAGGATTGTCCTCACATGGAATTTCTTTAATGAATGGGGAAGACGTCAATAGGTCCAACAAGTAATCAAAAGATAAAAATTGGCTTAAATGTAGTATAGAAAATAAAAAAATGAAATGCGAGCAGTTAAGGAGCGACTGACATAAATCTTCAGTTGTTATAGCTTCGATTAATAATAAAAAAAGAGATGATACCCATTCAGCCATTTGTCCCTCCCAATATAGAAAAAAAATGTGAAATAAGCCTATGATTATGTTTTTGGTCGGCCTGGTGCTTCCGTCTTTGATACGTAGATTTATTTCCCATAGATTCGTAATAATAAACACAAGAAACTTGCTATGGTTTTTGAAGAACTAAAGACAAAGATTCCATGGCTAGAAACTATTACCTGGTTCTGGCCCTTCAGGAGTTGGTTTCTCTGCAGATACAAAACAGAGGCTCGTTATTTAAACCACTTAGAGCCAACACAGTTTAGAAATGTAAAACCGACTATAATTTTTTGCCTGCCATTATATTCCTCATCGATTACTAACGTACATTTGGACAACTAGTAAGAGGTTTAGAAGTTCATTTTCTTTCGACACGGAAAAATTGAAAAAAATTTTTAATCCGTAATAGCATGTCAAAAGCTAAGGGTATCTTACCTATAGGAATCGGAGAAACTTCTGGTCCTTTGGAATTGAAATTGATATCGAAAACTGCATTTTGCTAAACGAGAAATAAAGGTCAGAATGAATCTCACCTTTAGGAGCTGATGTAGTTCCTTCTTTCTCTCCTCCAGGAGCTGATGTTGTTCCTTCTTTCTCTCCTCCAGGAGCTGATGTAGTTCCTTCTTTCTCTCCTCCAGGAGCTGATGTTGTTCCTTCTTTCTCTCCTCCAGGAGCTGATGTTGTTCCTTCTTTCTCTCCTCCAGGAGCTGATGTAGTTCCTTCTTTCTCTCCTCCAGGAGCTGATGTTGTTCCTTCTTTCTCTCCTCCAGGAGCTGATGTAGTTCCTTCTTTCTCTCCTCCAGGAGCTGATGTTGTTCCTTCTTTCTCTCCTCCAGGAACTGATGTTGTTCCTTCTTTCTCTCCTCCAGGAGCTGATGTAGTTCCTTCTTTCTCTCCTCCAGGAGCTGATGTAGTTCCTTCTTTCTCTCCTCCAGGAGCTGATGTAGTTCCTTCTTTCTCTCCTCCAGGAGCTGATGTTGTTCCTTCTTTCTCTCCTCCAGGAGCTGATGTTGTTCCTTCTTTCTCTCCTCCAGGAGCTGATGTTGTTCCTTCTTTCTCTCCTCCAGGAGCTGATGTAGTTCCTTCTTTCTCTCCTCCAGGAGCTGATGTTGTTCCTTCTTCTTCTTCTCCAGGAGCCGATGTAGTTCCTTCTTCTTTCTCTCCAGGAGCTGATGTAGTTCCTTCTTCTTTCTCTCCAGGAGCCGATGTAGTTCCTTCTTCTTTCTCTCCAGGAGCTGATGTAGTTCCTTCTTCTTTCTCTCCAGGAGCCGATGTAGTTCCTTCTTCTTTCTCTCCAGGAGCCGATGTAGTTCCTTCTTCTTTCTCTCCAGGAGCCGATGTAGTTCTTTCTTCTTTCTCTCCAGGAGCCGATGTAGTTCCTTCTTCTTTCTCTCCAGGAGCCGATGTAGTTCCTTCTTCTTTCTCTCCAGGAGCCGATGTAGTTCCTTCTTCTTCTCCTCCAGGTGTTGATGTAGTTCCTTCTTCTTTCTCTCCAGGAGCCGATGTAGTTCCTTCTTCTTTCTCTCCAGGAGCCGATGTAGTTCCTTCTTTTTTCTCTCCAGGAGCCGATGTAGTTCCTTCTTCTTCTCCTCCAGGTGTTGATGTAGTTCCTTCTTCTTTCTTTCCAGGAGCCGATGTAGTTCCTTCTTCTTCTCCTCCAGGTGCTGATGCAGTTCCTTCCTCTTTCTCTCCAGGAGCCGATGTAGTTCCTTCTTTTTCTTCTCCTGGAGCCGATGTAGTTCCTTCTTCTTTCTCTCCAGGAGCCGGTGTAGTTCCCCTTTCTTCTCCTCCAGGAGCTAATGTAGTTCCTTCTTCTTTCTCTCCAGGAGCCGATGTAGTTCCTTCTTCTTTCTCTCCAGGAGCCGGTGTAGTTCCTTCTTCTTTCTCTTCAGGAGCCGATGTAGTTCCTTCTTCTTTCTCTACAGGAGCCGATGTAGTTCCTTCTTCTTCTCCTCCAGGTGTTGATGTAGTTCCTTCTTCTTTCTCTCCAGGAGCCGATGTAGTTCCTTCTTCTTCTCCTCCAGGTGCTGATGTAGTTCCTTCTTCTTTCTCTCCAGGAGCCGATGTAGTTCCTTCTTTTTCTTCTCCTGGAGCCGATGTAGTTCCTTCTTCTTTCTCTCCAGGAGCCGGTGTAGTTCCTCTTTCTTCTCCTCCAGGAGCTAATGTAGTTCCTTCTTCTTTCTCTCCAGGAGCCGATGTAGTTCCTTCTTCTTTCTCTCCAGGAGCCGGTGTAGTTCCTTCTTCTTTCTCTTCAGGAGCCGATGTAGTTCCTTCTTCTTTCTCTCCAGGAGCCGATGTAGTTCCTTCTTCTTTCTCTCCAGGAGCCAATGTAGTTCCTTCTTCTTTCTCTCCAGGAGCCGATGTAGTTCCTTCTTCTTTCTCTCCAGGAGCCGATGTAGTTCCTTCTTCTTTCTCTCCAGGAGCCGATGTAGTTCCTTCTTCTTTCTCTCCAGGAGCCGATGTAGTTCCTTCTTCTTCTCCTCCAGGTGCTGATGTAGTTCCTTCTTCTTTCTCTCCAGGAGCCGATGTAGTTCCTTCTTCTTCTCCTCCAGGTGCTGATGTAGTTCCTTCTTCTTCCTCTCCAGGAGCCGATGTAGTTCCTTCTTTTTCTTCTCCTGTAGCCGATGTAGTTCCTTCTTCTTTCTCTCCAGGAGCCGGTGTAGTTCCTCTTTCTTCTCCTCCAGGAGCTAATGTAGTTCCTTCTTCTTTCTCTCCAGGAGCCGATGTAGTTCCTTCTTCTTTCTCTCCAGGAGCCGGTGTAGTTCCTTCTTCTTTCTCTTCAGGAGCTGATGTAGTTCCTTCTTCTTTCTCTCCAGGAGCCGATGTTGTTCCTTCTTCTTTCTCTCCAGGAGCCGGTGTAGTTCCTTCTTCTTTCTCTCCAGGAGCCGATGTAGTTCCTTCTTCTTTCTCTCCAGGAGCTGATGTAGTTCCTTCTTCTTTTTCTCCAGGAGCCGATGTAGTTCCTTCTTCTTTCTCTCCAGGAGCCGATGTAGTTCCTACTTCTTTCTCTCCAGGAGCTGATGTAGTTCCTTCTTCTTTCTCTTCAGGAGCCGATGTAGTTCCTTCTTCTTTCTCTCCAGGAGCCGATGTAGTTCCTTCTTCTTTCTCTCCAGGAGCCGATGTAGTTCCTTCTTCTTTCTCTCCAGGAGCCGATGTAGTTCCTTCTTCTTTCTCTTCAGGAGCCGATGTAGTTCCTTCTTCTTTCTCTCCAGGAGCTAATGTAGTTCCCTCTTCTTTCTCTCCAGGAGCCGATGTAGTTCCTTCTTCTTTCTCTCCAGGAGCTGATGTAGTTCCTTCTTCTTTCTCTCCAGGAGCCGATGTAGTTCCTTCTTCTTTCTCTCCAGGAGCTGATGTAGTTCCTTCTTCTTTCTCTACAGGAGCCGATGTAGTTCCTTCTTCTTTCTCTCCAGGAGCCGATGTAGTTCCTTCTTCTTCTCCTCCAGGTGCTGATGTAGTTCCTTCTTCTTTCTCTCCAGGAGCCGATGTAGTTCCTCTTTCTTCTCCTCCAGGTGCTGATGTAGTTCCTTCTTCTTTCTCTCCAGGAGCCGATGTAGTTCCTTCTTTTTCTTCTCCTGGAGCCGATGTAGTTCCTTCTTCTTTCTCTCCAGGAGTCGGTGTAGTTCCTCTTTCTTCTCCTCCAGGAGCAAATGTAGTTCCTTCTTCTTTCTCTCCAGGAGCCGATGTAGTTCCTTCTTCTTTCTCTCCAGGAGCCGATGTCGTTCCTTCTTCTTTCTCTTCAGGAGCCGATGTAGTTCCTTCTTCTTTCTCTCCAGGAGCCGATGTAGTTCCTTCTTCTTTCTCTCCAGGAGCCGATGTAGTTCCTTCTTCTTCTCCTCCAGGTGCTGATGTAGTTCCTTCTTCTTTCTCTCCAGAAGCCGATGTAGTTCCTTCTTTTTCTTCTCCTGGAGCCGATGTAGTTCCTTCTTCTTTCTCTCCAGGAGCCGATGTAGTTCCTTCTTCTTTCTCTCCAGGAGCTGATGTAGTTCCTTCTTCTTTCTCTCCAGGAGCCGATGTAGTTCCTTCTTCTTTCTCTCCAGGAGCCGATGTAGTTCCTTCTTCTTCTCCTCCAGGTGCTGATGTAGTTCCTTCTTCTTTCTCTCCAGGAGCCGATGTAGTTCCTTCTTCTTCTCCTCCAGGTGCTGATGTAGTTCCTTCTTCTTCCTCTCCAGGAGCCGATGTAGCTCCTTCTTTTTCTTCTCCTGTAGCCGATGTAGTTCCTTCTTCTTTCTCTCCAGGAGCCGATGTAGTTCCTTCTTCTTTCTCTCCAGGAGCTGATGTAGTTCCTTCTTCTTTCTCTCCAGGAGCCGATGTAGTTCCTTCTTCTTTCTCTCCAGGAGCCGATGTAGTTCCTTCTTCTTCTCCTCCAGGTGCTGATGTAGTTCCTTCTTCTTTCTCTCCAGGAGCCGATGTAGTTCCTCTTTCTTCTCCTCCAGGTGCTGATGTAGTTCCTTCTTCTTTCTCTCCAGGAGCCGATGTAGTTCCTTCTTTTTCTTCTCCTGGAGCCGATGTAGTTCCTTCTTCTTTCTCTCCAGGAGTCCGTGTAGTTCCTCTTTCTTCTCCTCCAGGAGCAAATGTAGTTCCTTCTTCTTTCTCTCCAGGAGCCGATGTAGTTCCTTCTTCTTTCTCTCCAGGAGCCGATGTAGTTCCTTCTTCTTTCTCTTCAGGAGCCAATGTAGTTCCTTCTTCTTTCTCTCCAGGAGCCGATGTAGTTCCTTCTTCTTTCTCTCCAGGAGCCGATGTAGTTCGTTCTTCTTCTCCTCCAGGTGCTGATGTAGTTCCTTCTTCTTTCTCTCCAGAAGCCGAGGTAGTTCCTTCTTTTTCTTCTCCTGGAGCCGATGTAGTTCCTTCTTCTTTCTCTCCAGGAGCCGATGTAGTTCCTCCTTCCTCTCCTCCAGGAGCTAATGTTGTTCCTTCTTCTTTCTCTCCAGGAGCTGATGTATTTCCTTCTTCTTTCTCTCCAGGAGCCGATGTAGTTCCTTCTTCTTTCTCTTCAGGAGCCGATGTAGTTCCTCCTTCTTCTCCTCCAGGAGCTAATGTTGTTCCTTCTTCTTTCTCTCCAGGAGCTGATGTAGTTCCTTCTTCTTTCTCTCCAGGAGCCGATGTTGTTCCTTCTTCTTTCTGTCCAGGAGCCGATGTAGTTCCTTCTTCTTTCTCTCCAGGAGCTGATGTAGTTCCTTCTTCTTTCTGTCCAGGAGCTGATGTAGTTCCTTCTTCTTTCTCTCCAGGAGCCGATGTAGTTCCTTCTTCTTTTCCTCCAGGAGCTGATGTAGTTCCTTCTTCTTTCTCTCCAGGAGCCGATGTAGTTCCTTCTTCTTTCTCTCCAGGAGCCGATGTAGTTCCTTCTTCTTTCTCTCCAGGAGCTGATGTAGTTCCTTCTTCTTTCTCTCCAGGAGCCGATGTAGTTCCTTCTTTTTCTTCTCCTGTAGCCGATGTAGTTCCTTCTTCTTTCTCTCTAGGAGCCGATGTAGTTCCTCCTTCTTCTCCTCCAGGAGCTAATGTAGTTCCTTCTTCTTTCTCTCCAGGAGCTAATGTAGTTCCTTCTTCTTTCTCTCCAGGAGCCGATGTAGTTCCTTCTTCTTTCTCTCCAGGAGCCGATGTAGTTCCTTCTTCTTTCTCTCCAGGAGCCGGTGTAGTTGCTTCTTCTTTCTCTCCAGGAGCCGGTGTAGTTCCTTCTTTTTTCTCTCCAGGAGCCGATGTAGTTCCTTCTTCTTCTCCTCCAGGAGCTAATGGAGTTCCTTCTTCTTTCTCTCCAGGAGCCGATGTAGTTCCTTCTTTTTCTTCTCCTGGAGCCGATGTAGTTCCTTCTTCTTTCTCTCTAGGAGCCGATGTAGTTCCTCCTTCTTCTCCTCCAGGAGCCGATGTAGTTCCTTCTTCTTTCTCTCCAGGAGCCGATGTAGTTCCTTCTTCTTCTCCTCCAGGAGCTAATGTAGTTCCTTCTTCTTTCTCTCCAGGAGCCGATGTAGTTCCTTCTTTTTCTTGTAGTTCCTTCTTTTTCTTCTCCTGGAGCTGATGAAGTTCCTTCTTCTTTCTCTCTAGGAGCCGATGTAGTTCCTCCTTCTTCTCCTCCAGGAGCCGATGTAGTTTCTTCTTCTTTCTCTCCAGGAGCTGATGTAGTTCCTTCTTCTTTCTCTCCAGGGGCCGATGTAGTTCCTTCTTCTTTCTCTCTAGGAGCCGATGTAGTTCCTCCTTCTTCTCCTCCAGGAGCCGATGTAGTTCCTTCTTCTTTCTCTCCAGGAGCTGATGTAGTTCCTTCGTCTTTCTCTCCAGGAGCCGATGTAGTTCCTTCTTCTTTCTCTCCAGGAGCCGATGTAGTTCCTTCTTCTTCTCCTCCAGGAGCTAATGTAGTTCCTTCTTCTTTCTCTCCAGGAGCTAATGTAGTTCCTTCTTCTTTCTTTCCAGGAGCTGATGTAGTTCCTTCTTCTCTCTCTCCAGGAGCCGATGTAGTTCCTTCACTTTTCTCTCCAGGAGCCGATGTAGTTCCTTCTTCTCCTCCACCAGGAGCTGATGTAGTTCCTTCTTCTTTCTCTCCAGGAGCCGATGTAGTTCCTTCTTCTCCTCCACCAGGAGCCGATGTAGTTCCTTCTTCCTCTCCTTCAGGTGCTGATGTAGTTCCTTCTTCTTCTCCTCCAGGAGCCGATGTAGTTCCTTCCTCTTTCTCTCCAGGAGCCGATGTAGTTCCTTCTTCTTTCTCTCCAGGAGCCGATGTAGTTCCTTCTTCTTGTCCTCCAGGCGCCGACGTTGTTCCTCCTTCTCCCCCTCCTTCTCCTTTGAAAAGGGACAGAAAATAAAGTTGACATCAAAAGGGGTTCTTAAAAACATCGAGTTAAAAACCGAAGGATATCCTATCTTACCGTATTGAAAAGGTGGTATGCAGAGAAATTAACAATCTTTTACTCTAACGTCCTCGTCACCAGTCGTCCAAAATTATTATTCAATTGAAAGTTTTGGTAAAATAAAGTCGTAACATGTATAATCTGTTTCATTTCTTACCACTCGGTTCTTTGGTGGTGAATTTTATCTGACCTTGTCCTTAATACGGAAAAAAGAAACGGAGGAGCAAAAGGTTAGTGTCAGGGTGTTGTAAAGCAGGGTCTTAGACAAGGTTTCCATTCTTGGATTGGTTCAGCCCTAAAGTGGTTTAGTCTTTAGGTTTATAAATAAGATTGTTGCCACATGTCTGATTTAAAGTCCAATTTCGCTTTTATAAAAATTCAGTGTTGAAAGAAAGATGTTCGTGTGAAAGTCAAGGGAATAGACCTCATATGCTTTATTGTTCATTCTCCAGAGCCTGATAAGGTCTATTGTTCTTCGCTGAATTTAAAAATAACTACATTTGAGCTTTGGCAAAGTAAGGCACAATAATTACTAGGCGTATAAACTCACCACCGGGGGTAGTTCCTTCTGGTTCTGGAAAAAAGGAAACAAACAGGTTGTACATTCAATTTATCAATTTATCTCATTTAGAGGAGATACCTTATGTTTTTATAATTGCTTACCTACCACTTTTAGTGATCATTTTTTTTCAGAAAATGACAAAAAGACATTTCTATTAGATAAAGTGCGGTAACACTGCTGTCAAATGATTCAGCCCTAGTGGCAAGTTTTTTTAGTCATTGTTCGAGGAGTTTGAATTATGCCCGCCCAACAACATACTTGTTCATTTTTCGCTTTGTTCAACTGATTCGCTTCATCTGTGTTTATCTGTTCCTATCTATCTCAATTCTAACGTGGGTAGCTGGCGATTTGAAGACTCCTCATAGGTAACTCAGCCCATTTTCTTTTCTCTTTGTTTTTGTCTCATTTTCTCAAGCGCCTAATAACTGTTTTACGACTGGTTCAAAATTCTGTCGTTAGAGTGATATGAATCAGACTATTGCCATACCAAAACTTCGCAAACTACAAAATACAAAAATTGTATATAAATCCCGATGTGACTTACCAGTTGGAACAGTATGTCCTGGCGCTAGAAGAGAAAAAAGTAACTCATGACTGAGGAAAAGAACACGTCAATACGTTTGAATTCGCCAAATTCGCGTTTTGTCATAAAAATAACTTGTTGCCCCCATTGCTTCTCAGTTTTTTTTTAACAATAGCTAAATTCACCGCTATGGTAAACCAGAACAGCTTTTAATTATCGAACGCATTTGCGTCGTACAAATCTCAAGCAATATACAATTCTCTACCGAGGTCTTAAAATTTGGAACTGTCTTTCTGTTTCTGTCTCTCGGTCGTCAAATGCTCTTAGCTTCAAGACGAAAATGCAAGAGTTTTTTACCTAACTATTCACTGAATTGGCCAAGCTGCACTTTCGCAGCACTCATTCTTTTAAATATATTTTTGTAAGTGAGGTGATCTCTCCCATAAGCCCGGTGGCTCCTTGGATCTACTCGCCGATAAATCATAACGCTGTAGATAATTTTTTTGTATCTTAAAAAAGGAAAATGAAATCATGATGATGAAGAATGTAGTGATCTCTATGTTAGATGAAGTAGTTTTCAGAAAGATTACATAGTAAACGTTTGCATGTTTACAGTTATTGACCATTCACACTGGTTTTCTCTGGGCCTGGAAAGTTCGTAGAAATATGTTTGCATTGTTTGAATTGTTTTTACTGAGACCTACCAGCAGTTGAGGACTCCTCCACCACTTCAATGCCAATGGTACCAGTTGCTTCTGTAAAATGTTTTAAAATAATAAAGGACGTCAGAGATGACTCATTTAAACGGTTAATGGAGGGATAGTCTTTGGGAGAGTATACCCGAACGAGATCAAAGGTGATGCCTAGAAGGCAAAAAGCTCTTCAGTTGAGGGTGAAGGAGTCATAGCTACGTAGATTGCAGATCGGCGGATTTAGCTTCACTTGAATTGTAATCATATTAGACTATTGAGATCAATGAAGACCTGAAGCAAGTAAAAACGAGGACCAAATCGATTATGCCAAGCCACTAACTATGAGAATTTCAAGAATCGATCGAAATCTCCAACCAGAAAAGATAGAAAATTCTATGCACGGTAGTGATATAGAACTTACACCTAACGAAGTTTTTACATTCAAGAGGACTTACCAATTGGGTTGGTTACTGTTGCTGAAAAAGAAGAGAATTGAAATCAAAGGGAATTCTGACTGGCAGTAACGTGAAGTTGGGGTCTTTCTTACAGCAAATATAGATTTCCTTACGATTTCATGAAAGAGATTTTGTCGTTTCATAATAATTTCACGGATTCACGAAAGAATTAATTTATAATAAGGGCGAACTTTAAGATACCTTTGATTCAAAAGGAAGTTTCTAGCTTCTGCGTTTATTGTATGACTGGCACAAAATGAAGTGTTTCAACTCAATATGAAGATGAGAAAATTAATTAACCTACCGGCTGTGGTGGATCCTTCTTTAACTTCAATATGGATTGTACCTACCACGAATGAAGTGGAATTGTTAGACTATAACTGCTATAGTCAAGAGAGCTCTTAGGCGAAGGGGGAGGGGAACACACCCTTTTTGGTCTTAACGAGAATGTGCTTCTAAACTGGGTAAGATTTTTGGGATGTTTTGACGGGTAATGTAAATCTTTTGCTGAGCATCTTGGAAAGGGTATCTTTCTGGACCCAGCATAGTCTTGCGTTATTCACGACTGTTAACAGGGAAGTCCTGTATTTATAGAAAAAAAAAAACCTACGTGATATTTACTTTGAGGTTTCCAATCACAGTTCAGTTACATTTACAAAACGTCGTAATTAGACAGTTAAACCATGCAATCACGTGACAAATCGACGCTTGCAGTGCCGATCAGAATTCATAAATTTGGTTAGAAATAAAATTGTGAATATAAAAAGTATGTCCTACCAGTTTGCGTTGCCTTTGTCCCTGGTCCTTCTGTAGATCAGACAAAACAAGTGAAATTAACGAAACTTTAATGTAAAATGACAAAGGACGCCATAACCCCAGTGGGATTTTTTCTTAATGAAAAAAAAAGTTTTTTGGGATGTTTAACTACATGATCTTGAATTAGCTATGGATATAATTGTAGGTATGGCTTGGTGATAGAACAGTTTTCAACTAAGTGTCGATTGCCGTTGGTCTGACAGAAATTTTGTCAGCTGTTTGTCTTGTCAGTCAGATAATTGGTCCGTCAGCCATTCGGTGAGACAATCAGTCAGTCAACGTGGCAGTTAGTCAGTCACTCAGTCAGTCATTCCGCTGATAAGCCAATCATCTATTTGGACAGTCAGCCAATCATTTCGCCAGTTCATCAGTTGGAAAGTCCGTCTGACTGTCAGTCAGCTCGTCATTCAGTTATTCATTTTATTTAATTGTTGAGTCAATTACTAAGAGATTATAAACAATATCGGTTAGTTTGTTAGCTGGCGAGTAAGTCCACCAGAATTCCGTCAGTTAAGGCAGTTGATCAGCCGGTAATTCAGTCAGTTAGTCAGTGAGTCATTCAGTTATTTTTTTAGTCAGTTCATCGGCTGGTCTGGTCAAACACTTGGTCAGTCGGCTCTCGTATCTGGATCATTCATTCAACCAAGCAAGAGGTCAATCACATGCATACTGCTATTTTAAATCTCTTTCTATGACTTACTCGTAGTGGGAGGACATTCACAAGGACATGGTTTCACAAAGCATTTCATATAATCTATGTATTCTCCAGGTGTAGGGCAATCCTCCACGATACAATCACGGTATCTCGTCATGAATCCCTCCCCTTCTTGTACACTGCACGCGCTCCAATCACTCCAAGAACCATATGCCTCACCGTTCACCCTCCAGTTGGCTTCGAGTCAGGAAGAGAAAGGGATGCATGTTGTTAGAAAGAATAGTAGGCTTTTGTTCCTTTTTTTCTTCATTCATTTTTTTTTTTGGGGGGGGGGGGGGGCTGGGGAAGGGGATCTTAAGCAAAAGTTTCAAGGCATTTTTCCGTGTCAGACTTTGAATTAATAAATCGCAGCATATCAAAGGAGCCCGCCTCGGGCGCACGCCCAATAGGAATCGCCTGCAGTCGTTTCTGGGTTACGTGCCTCAAGATAGTGCACTGTCCTGCCGTGCCTTTCGTTTCGGGATTTTGTGCCTCGTTCTCACCTTTCATACACTTCTCTGAACAATTTTGTATCTCAAAGTAAGTAAAGGAGGGTCTGGGAAAGAGTCGGCGAAAACGATGTCAAACATGACAAACGTGTACATTGTTGGGCAAAATTTGAAATTGATTCTGACTTTAATGGCATAGGGTAAAATATGGACTGGACCATTTTTTGGACCATTTTTTGGACCATTTTATCGGGGGAAGCACACCATTAGTACTTCAGGGAGGGGTGGGATGCAGTCTACTAGTACTCAGGGAGGGGTGGAAGGCAGAGTGTTATTACTCAGGGAGTGGTGAGAGAAGGACTATTGCTAGGCAGGGAGAGGTGGGAGGTGGATGTAATGGTAAACACTACTTGTTAATGGAGCTTTTATTCGATCGTACAAATTATCTTCATCGGTTTTTCGACTGACTTTTTGCATGTTCTTCATTTTTGTCGTCATGCGAAAGCGAAACTGCCACGTAAACACTGGGACATAAAATAATCAGCAAACGATTTCGAAGAGGAATCCATATTCTCGTATCGAGCAAAAGCACTGCTTTACATGTAATATGGGAAAGATGGGAAAGCGCAAATATCGATTTTATCTGTTTCGCAAACAAATGAGTTAATCACCCACACCGGAAATAGCGACCATGCATTCCTCGCGACTCCCGAACGTTTGTTTTCCAATTTGCCCGGGCCGCTGCCAATCACTTCTTGCGTAAATACCTACGTAACCTGCTAAGTGGAAGTACAGTGGCTACTGTTGCTTACCGATATTTTCCGTCGGCAAAACTTAGAAGTCAGTAAATGTGACCGATTCTGCCCGGAAAATTTTATTATCTGGAGCTTGGATATGTCAGGAGAGTTTCATTGACAGCTGGATTAACTGCACCCCGTGTTGTGAAACCACAGGCGGCCCAAGCTCACGTCTCGAGAAAGCCAACGATGAATTCATGAACGCGTCACGCGTTGTGTGACTCGGTGTTAAGTTACGGGAGGAACCGTTGAAAATTTGAACACGTTATAAGGAATAGTATAGGGAACGAAATATGATCGATTTACAACGATAAATATTTCGAAATATGAATATTTTACACGTAAAATCAATAAAACTTACTCATGCCCTGTGTATCCGTCGTAGTTTCTGGCGATTTCTGCCGTTTTAAGCTTGCTTTACCATCACTGTTATCCATGTCAAAAGACGAAGTTTGACATGGATAACAGTGATGGTAAAGCAAGCTTAAAACGGCAGAAATCGCCAGAAACTACGACGGATACACAGGGCATGAGTAAGTTTTATTGATTTTACGTGTAAAATATTCATATTTCGAAATATTTATCGTTGTAAATCGACCATATTTCGTTCCCTATACTATTCCTAATTACGTGTTCAAATTTTCAACGGTTCCTCCCGTAACTTAACACCGAGTCACACAACGCGTGACGCGTTCATGAATTCATCGTTGGCTTTTTCTCGAGACGTGAGCTTGGGCCGCCTGTGGTGAAACCATTATAAAGACATCGCGCTTTCCTTCGCTTTTTTTGTCACATACTTAAGGGAAACGTGAGGCACCTGAAAGATGATTCATGCTAACCCGTCGGTATCACTTAGCACTGGCACAAGTCGACCTAACAGGCACAACGCATATCTTAATAGTGGAGGATCGAAAACAGGAATGGAATTGGTGATATCTTCAATGACAATTACAGTCCAGTGTTTAAGTGCCAGTTTAGCATTCGCATTACAAAAGATTAAAGAAACGCTACGGCCCAGCGCAAAATTTTGACAATGAACTTCGAACACCAAATTTTTCAAGCACGGTTATCGTTTTGAGCTTTACAAAGAAAGATTGTATTCCTCTAAAACATCGTGACTTTCTGGCTTATGTATAAGTTTTTGTAACCTGTTTGAGCCATGGACAACTTGGTTTTGACGGCCGGAATTCACACCACCCATTTAGTACAAAGTTCACACGCGCGCAGATATCTGGCCGCTGTGTTTCCGTACGCACATCTTCTTCGGGCGACCCTAAAAGCCGGAATGACGGAAAATGGCCCCAAATCCTAAAACACGGAACCGCGGAAAATGACCCCAAATCCTAAAACACGGAACGGATGTCATGGCATGTTGCACAAATTTTGTACAAAAACACTCAAGTGCTCGGCTCATTCATCCCAACGATAACGCGCGGGACTAAAATTAAGTGTTATTAATTTTTTTTCTTTCACCGAGTGGTATGAATAATAATGAACCATTCTGCATGAAAGATAGCTGCGTTTTCGCGTTGTGAACCTGTTTAGTTACTTTTTGTTATGCTAAATTTGCCATGAGTTTTAGTCACGGCATAAAAAGTCGTACAAACCAAACCATAGGATCCTCGACCGATAGCCTCTTCTTTATCTCGCAACTGCTTCCATGCGAATAATGGTAAACCATGACAATCCAAAGATCCGTCTGAATTACACTTCCCTTTCAGGAAGGGCAATTTAAACGCTATAGAGCTGACTATTTGCAATTTGTTGAGGAACAGAAGAAATCCGCTGAACGAATTGGTGAAATAGCCTCTTTTTTGTCCAGAAAGTTTATTTCTTCCGCTGATATGTAAGCCGTAAATTTCACAGTAGGATGGTGGTGTTTTGGACACCTGGTCGCGAAGAAATTCTTCAAATTCTTCTTGACGGCTTCCTTCTGCTAACTTTCTTTTGTCTTTTCACGCCATGAGAAATTCCCACGCGCGTGACACCCTGCTAACCTCTCTTCACCTAGTGTTACTCAAGTCCCAAAACTTATTCGTGGATGAAAAAGCGCTCGTATTTAAGGGCCCGTAACGAGGGCTTGCTTTCACGCTAGTCTAAGTTTGGAGCTGGGGCTGAACGTTGTCATATTTTGAGAAGCCTGAAAACGTTCCTGTGATGTTCTCACATTTACAAGCATATGAGATATTATTGTTTCAGTAAATCAATGCAGACGTGACCAGGAAACGTATCAAAGTTACAATTGTTTATTGTAATGTGGTATGTATGTGGTTTTCACATGCTGTGCGACTTTTTATGCCGCGACTAAAACTCATGGCAAATTTAGCATAACAAAAGGTTTACAACGCGAAAACGCAGCTATCTTTCATGCATAATGGTTCATCATTATTTATACCACACAGTAAAAGAAAAAAAATTAATAATGCTTAATTTTAGTCCCGCGCGTTATCGTCGTGGGGATAAATGAGCCAAGCGCTTGGTGTCTTTGTATAAAATTTGTGCAACATGCCCTGACATCCGTTCCGTGTTTTAGGATTTGGGGTTATTTTCCGCCGTTCCATGTTTTAGGATTTTGGGGTCATTTTCCGCCATTCCGCTATTCCGCCGTTCCGGCTTTTAGGGTCACCCTCTTCAGAGGTCATAATTTGTATGTTTTACTTTCAAATAATGATAACAATAAATATATTTGTCATTTAAGTGTCTACTACTGATTTTGTAGCACTTTAATCAAAATGCATTGTCACCCCAAAAATTGTATTTCAGAAATGAAAATCAAGCGTTTCCTACGGAGCCCCAAGTTCCATCCAAAACTTACACTCTTCTTTTTTTTTTCCTTCCACGACTTTTTTCACGACTCTTTTCTTTCGCGACTTTTCCGCGTGTAAACGTCACCGTAAGCTCAGAGACGAATGGCACATGCAAAACATGGCGTCGAAGGAGAAGCTGCTTAAAGTAACTGAAACAAATTTCCTAATTATCTGCCCCAATTTAAAGCACTCCTTCCGCAATATGTACCTGTACTTCAGCCAGGCTACGTAGAGCGGCATGACCTTATCGAGTGTTACTTTAAGCTTGAGTTTACATCGTGAAATCTTAGCCTTCCTTATGCTCTCGCATGGCATTGTGTCTGCGTCAGCTGGAGAGAATTTTGGCTCACAGGGGATTACGCAGAATGCATAACCCTAGAACCCCCCGTTGACGATGATGTTGAAATCGCCATTTTCCCGCACGTACCGTGCTCTGAGCCCTCGGTAGAAGTCGCAACAAAAAAAGTCGCCAAAAAAAAAGTCACTTAAAACATATCGCGGAAAAAAAGTCGCAAGCAAAAAGTCGCCAAAAAAGTCGCCAAAAAAAGGCTTCGAAAAAATAGGGTAAAAAAAAGTCGCGAAGAAAAAGGAGGGTGAAACTTTTGGATGGCACGTAGTTTCCTTACATTTTGAATGAAAATTTGATATTTTAATCACATACCCTCCCTTACCTGTCACACACAGGACAACGAGATAAGCCAACAGCATTGTTTCCTCGGGGATTTGATTCTAAAAATCAAAGATCGTGATTTGATAAACACTTGACTTTGTTTGTCTGAAATGTAACGATAATAATGATGATGATAATGATGCAATTATCTAGAGCATTCTTCTTATGAATATGCTCTAATGAGTTTTACATCACTTGGGGGGACGTTGGCTAGACTACAGTCAGCAGTTGACGAGTTTTTTGACGGATATTTTGCAGGTGCCCCAAATTTTTGGAATTTTTTTGGTCGCAAACAACTATGTATTTTTACTGACTATATCACACAAGGAGAATTTTAATTTTAGGCAATACCAAGTACATGTGGGATACCGTCATTTTTGGACCGAAATGTCTTT